TCACTTCATAATCCACTGACACTTGGCTGTTTGGTTTGTCTCACTTAGCTCTTTAATATACATGAACTTTCCTTTTGCCCACATGAGGTAAGTATATTAAGGCTTTATTTGTTTAGTTATTCATTTGAAAGTCAAGGTTAGAGAGAGACAGCAACAGAGATCCTCCATTTGCTGGTTCACTCCCCAGATAGTCACCTGCTCAGGGCTGGGTCAAGGCAAAGCAGGAGCCAGGAGCTTCACTTGAGTCTTCCCCATGAGTGGAAGGGTCTCAAACATTTCAGCCATCCCCTACTACTTTCCAGGCCATTACTGGGCGCTGGATCAGAAGTGGAGCAGCGCCCAGTGGTGGTGGAACCACCACCCCTATGGGATGCTGGCATTGCAGGCAGCAGCTTTATCCTTATGCCAAAATGCCAGCCCCAAAGTTTTGTGTGTTTTTTGTTTGTTTGTTTGTTTGTTGTTGATTTTGAACAAATAGCCATTAACTGTGTAGTTCAGCATGTCCTGAATTATTTGGGGTCCTTTACCATATAATGAGTTCTTCAGATCACTACAGGATATTTTATCAATTACAGCCACAGGATGTAGGTAACTTAATTATTAGGGTATTTTTGTTGTTAATCCTCTTGAAATTTCAAGATATAAATCATGCCTTTGAAGAATAATATTCACATTGCCCCCCCATATGAAATCACACTTGCTAGTTTGAGTTTTACACCCATTACTATATTATGGATCTAACTGTTAACTTGGCTTAGTCTCACTCTGCCTCTGCACTGATGAGAACGCCACCTGGAAGAGGCAGTCAAGTGTCATTTCAGTATCACAAAACCTTCCTTCAAAGGCAGCACAGTCCAAACCATAGCCACGAAGTGTATGCAAGTGTTTAAATTTAAGAAAAATTAACTTAAACCTCAAATTCTTCAGGTCAGCTTGTCAGACTTCCAGCACTCAGTAGTCACATTTGGCTAACAGCTATCAAGTTGAATGGCATAGAAAGTTCTGGGCTGCCCTGTTCTGGTCTTTCCATGGGCCAAAGTGCAGTAGACAAGAGTCTCTCCCACCATATTCTTGTCTTCTCATATTATAGTCTAGTCTTTCTCTGTTGGTGAAAGGCATTTACATTTTTAAATCCTAACCGATGTCTTCCTCTGACATAAATTATCCTAAACTTAATATTTTCACAGGCATCTTGGCTGGACTCTTCTTCCTGATTTGATGTATTATTCTTGAAAATCACATGGCTACAAAAGGCATCAAAATACTAAAAAATTGCACATCAATTCCTAGTACTTTTCCTGAGTTGTAGTATTATATTTTTCATCTGTTCATTGCATATTTACACATATTTATACATGACTGTATCTTAGTCATCTCAAATTCATCTGAAAACCAAAATCATCTTTATTCATCCTCTTTTATGCTTTTGCTAGCATTTACTTAGCATCCCTTATGCTTTTTACATAGTAGGGTTACCTACCTGGAGCTTCCACACATCTAAGATCAGAGCGAAGCATGGGAGGAATCTAAAATGATTCAGGGACTAAGATAATGATGAGAATAGGTTCAAGACAATGGCCAGGGAGGAGTCTGGACAAGGTAACAAAGAATTGAGCAAACGTAGAACCCTCTTTTTTTGTTCTAAACTTGTCAAAATAGAAGAACCGGAAAAAAATAAGGAAGCATTCAGCTTAGTGAAAGATGGAACCCAACAGCCACAACACAACAGTCTTTAGTTTCAGTCCAGCCCTGCTCCAGCTCCTCCTGGATGGACATGCTCAGGACAAGAATAGCCTTGCAGGCACCAGGAGTCGCCTATGGGCTCCCAGAGAGATTAACCCGGTGAGAAGAGTGCTCTGTAGCTATCCCACACAGGTGGCACAAGACAGTAGCTACCATGAAGGGTGTGGGACCACAGAAAAACTTACATCCTCAGCCTGTGGGACAATACTTCTAGTAGATGATTCTCCTACCCTGCTCCTATGCTAGACTTAGCTCCTTGTGGCCATTCACATCTCTCTGTAACCCTATTAACTGTGCTGTTACAGAAACCCAATAAGCATTTATTCCAAAAATGAGTGATTGCATCTGTTCCTACACTGTATCTTCTTCCTGAGCACCAAACTCAACAGAACTATGAAATTACCTTTGTAGTTCTTAACATTTAACACTGTCACTACCATACTTAAATAACACAATGAATAACATAAATTCTTAATCACAGTCAGCTAGCCTCTATGTAACTGGCCTCTAGAGTATGGTTAAAACACACACACACACACACACACACACACACACACACACACAGATTTCCAGCCAGCCTCCTGAGACCAGTGCCTACACTAACAGTGGCTTTTGGCCAATTATTCATTCCTGTCTTCCACTGCTCCCTACCCTAGTACTGCCCTGCTAACACTATTCCATTTCCATCCCAGAATTATGGCATATAAGAAAATATTCTATTAATAGAAAAATCCTGCCTCTCACTTTTGTGGTAAAACATATGTTCAAAAAGCCTTGAAAAACTTGCTTTGCAACACATCAGCCCACATACTGTTTCTGAAATAACTGCTGGCACCTTCATGCCACTTTACCTTTGCTGTATACTGTTCCCTCTACCTGAACGGTTGTAAATTTTTAAAAACCAGATCAAATGCTTACCCTCTCTGGATTTCTTTGATCTAGATACTCGCCATATAAGGCAAAATTGATCAAACATGAGAGAACAATTAAATTTATCTCTTTATACCTTTTCCTGTTTTCAATTAATCACATTGCTTTTTAACTTTTTAACTTACTTCCATAATTTTAAATGTAAAAGGAGGAACTCCATGTTAATTTTCCAAAAGACACACAAACAAAGCAAAAAAGCCTGACCCACAGTACATTACCGAATGCTAAATTAGTCGCTACATAATTTCACTGTTTAGAGAATCCAGATACTACCAATGATATGTGTGCATGTGTAACTATATGTTTGTATAAAATTAGCAACCTAGGAAGACAAGTGCATTTCACAGCTAAATAATTAAATCCTGATTTACATTATCTGGAATTTTACTTTTATTTTTCTCATCAGTTCATCTCTACTTTTCAAAAAGCAGGACCTTCTAGCATCTTCTAAAATGGGAGTGTTTCAAAATTTGGCAGTATTTAAAAATCTCTTCACATGCTGTTCTCCTCTAATTCAATTTAATGGAAACAACAGCTTTAACAAAATTACTTTCGTTTTTTCTTGATGACAAATTCCCTACACTGATTATATGTCTTTTCCTGGTTAGTGATATTCCCTACACTCACATCCATTTTCATGTACCTTTCCCCTTTTCAATTCTGTCTGTGTTTTTGGCCTTCAGTTCTTCTATTCAAAACATGCAAGCTGGCATCCTCTTTGTCTTTCTGTTTGTCTACGCATTTACTTCAAAATGAATAGATACCAAAATATGTAGAATAAGTACAGTTTTCTAATATTATATGCACTTTAAAATTATTGATAAGTGTGTACAAAAGATGGTGTGTTAAATTTACATGTAGTAGCTTTAGAAAGAAGATAAAGACTATATTATAAAAAGAGTTCATTCATAATTTCAGTATTAGCTTTTTCCACAGTACATTTTATGTCTTATTTTATGCTTACTACTATTTTCAATAATGTAAACTTTCTAAGACTGTCCGATTGATTTTATAAAGATATAAATTCTCTATTGTGTACTCAGTTTTATTTTTCCCTGTTTTTTTATTAGTAAAGACATTAACAATAAAATAGGCTCCCTTGCTCCAGCTGGTAATTTCTCAGTACTAGTAATATATTATTCCTCTTTTTGTGACATCATAATCATCTATACAGAAGTACCATGTATCTTTGTGTAGAAGCTACTGTTTCCATTAAATTTAATTACCTCCCCCTGTGGTTTTAAATAGAAGTGGCTTCAAAATGAGGGCAGCTTCTATTAAATTTAATTACTTTCTCCTGCTGCTTGCATGGTAAAAGGGAGGTTACTAAATAAGAGCAGCTTCTAAACCAAAGTATATGGTAACCGTGTGCTAGCAATAACAAAACTGTATCTGGGCTACCATTCTAGGGAGCATTTTCTCTTTTGTCTTATATTAATTTTTTTACCCTTAAGATTTTAAAATAAAATGAGCATTAACACTGAAAAAAAAAAACATTTTAAAAACAGAGTTTAGTTTCATAGGATAAAGGCAAATACATTTTTTTACAGACACATTGGAAATTATGCAACTCAAAGGTTCAAGCTCACAACTTTTAAGACTAGTATCATTTGTTATTTTCTCCCTCTATGGATGATGGGATTTATTCCTCACATATTTTTAATGTCTAGTAAAAACCCTTTCATGATTCTGATCAAATGAATTTAAAGGACACTCCACTAAAAGTTATTAAAATGACATAAAATTTGGAGTGTTTTCAGAGAAAGAGTCAGAAGGAGTAATATTAAGAAGTGAAACAAGAAAAAAATCAGTCTCATTATGGACTACTATATTTGAAAAGAAGTTAATTACATGCTTTGTAATAGTGTGAAAATGTAAATCACTTTAAAAATACTATCATATAATCCTATAAAATCTAATAGAAGATGAAATTTTAAGCACCTCTTTTTGAATTAAATATTAATTAAGAGGAAGCACTCCTCAGTTAAACCACCAATGTACAATGTTTATTTTCTATATACATGCAGAATTTAGATGAACAATATTTTCATTCAATCACACAGTTTAGTATAAATATAAAACAAGACACCCCTTAAGCATTTTAAGTAACAAATTAAACATTTACATTTTTTACTGTGCACTGAGGCTTAACATTTATGCAGCTTCAAAACCAAAGTACAGCCTCAAGGGAAGTCTCTCCACTGACAAATTAATACCTTAGAGAACAGAGCTGAATGGTGGCAATGAACTCATTTGTTCCCCCAATAATGAAGAATGACTTTTTCTTTACCACATCTGTGACTGTTGCTATGGCGACCCAGACTTACCTCATTGCTTCTCGCAGAGCTCCTCGCTCACCAAGAGTCGTGTGCTTGATGTCATCAAAATTATTCTCCAGCTTTTCACAATTCTGTAACATATTTTAAAAAATTGCATTTAATCCAACAACATCCTGTGAAAAATTATGTCTATGCAATTATGTAAACATATCATTGGTTATATTGATTATGGACTCATGAAAAATATGTGCACTACTTTAATTGGATAGAATTCATTAAAATTGACAGTTGAATTCAACAGTAACAAACTAAAAAACATCTTACAATACAGCTGTCAAAGTAGTCTTTTTATCAATTTTTTAAAATGAGTAAACAGAAGAAATGAATATTGTATAAAAGTAGCAAAAATTCTGGAGTTTTGGGCAGTAAAAATATCTCTCTGAAATAATCTCAAGTATACCAAAGTCAAATTAAATTCAAAAGGAAAAATCAAGTTTTAAGTCATAATAAATAACATGATAAAAATCTAGCTCTAAATAAGTTAACAATTACTAAAATAGAAAATATAAAGCCCAGGTACAATATAATAAATTCCAAAACTTTTACATCAAAATTTTTATAATCATATATTTAAAGTGGAGTGTCATTATGTCATTCTTAGAAGAATGCTAATATTCAGTAACTATGACACAAACAGGTTCAATATTATAAGTGATTATTTTACCATCAAACACAATAACATTCCCGTACTCAATTCTAGTTTTTTCTTTAAATTTGATTACAGTCTAATTATGACTGCATTGTAAATTTAAAACTGCTTAATGATATATGATACTAATAATTTTGGAGAATGTAAAGCACAGGATCAAAATTAAGACTAAGCAAATGTAACTATATAAATCTTTTGGCGCATAAGATTTTTTGTAGATTTTAGTTGTATTTAGGTAATAAAATTTAATATTTTAATTGTTACAGACATATAGAAAACTATATAATAAAATATAATTGTTCTGTGCTTTTTTTCAAATTGGAAATAATTATGCTACATTTTTATGAAAGTATAGAAGATGGATAATTTTTAATGTATAAGAATTAACTGATATAAAATCTTATAACCATCATTTTGATGGATTTTTAAAATCAAAATAAAGATTCTTTTTTTAATTCTTTTTAACTAAAGTTATAACAAAAATCTTAAAAGAAACCAAAATAATTTGAATTCTGGATAAAAAAAAATCCTTTGTTGGATACGTGCAATACAAATAATCGCTACTGTTCTCTTTTCATTTTTTAAGATGTATCTTTTCTTGAAGAGAATCTTATGTTTAATGAAACTCAAATTATTATCTTTCTAATTTAAAGTTACTGATTTTGGTATCTTGTTTACAAAGTTTAAGAAATTCCTCAAAATAATGAAAATATTTTCCCACACTCTTTTAGAAAGCTCCATTATTTTACATTTCTGATTTAGATCTACAATCAATCCGGGATATTTATAGATGATATTAAGATAGGAAATCACACCATATGTGTAAGCAATCAAATCAATACTATTTATTGAAAAGATCATCTGTAATTCAGAGCTTTTTTTTTCTATAAATTAAGTCACAATACACAGGGGGTCTATTTCTGAAGTCTATTCTATTCAAATATTCCATTACTTACACTTGTTCTAGTAGCCCAAATCTTAATTACTTATATCCACAATAAAGAATCCTTTCACAAATAAATATAAGATGGGTAACTCAACAGAAAATGGGCATAACTTATATAAACATTAGAATATGTAAACTGAAAATTTAAAAAAATGCTCACCATCATTAGTCATCAGTAAAATGCAAATATTTTAAAATTTGCTTTATATTTAAAAGGCAGGGCAAGAGAGAAAGAAAGTGGGAGGGAGAGAAGGAGAAAAGAAGGGATAATGGGACGAAGAAAGAGACAGATCTCTCTTCTGTCTCTTAATTCTCTCTCCAAATGCCCACAAAAGCTGGGTAGGGACAGACTGAAGCCAGGAGAGAAGAACTCCATCAGATCTCATATGTGGTGGCAGGGATCCAAACACATGACATTTGCTGCCTCCAAGGTACCTACTAGCAGGAAGCTGGATAGGAAGCAGAGGCAGGAATCAGTCCCAGTCACTCCAAATGGGATAAGGGCATCCCAAGTGGTGGCTTAATCCACTTCACCACAATGCATGCCCCCAAACACTATTTTAAACCACAAAAAAATACCACTATGTATTTTGACAATGGATAAAAGAAAAAAAAAAAAAACCTGACCATACAGTTGAAACACTGTTGGCAAAGTGTTAATTGTTACAACCACTGTAAATTTCCTTGGCAGTACCTTCAGTAGCTGGACATTCAGCCAAACCTTTCAAATGGCAGTTCCACACTCATGAGTCTATCTAAGACAAATGTATTCTATATATTCTATGTTCACCAGAAGTCATATACAAAAATGTTAATAATAATAAATGTTAATAATAAAAGTTTCCAGACTACCCCAAAAGTGGATACAAGCCCATTAAAAATTAAGATGGAACACATGAATAAAGTGTGATATATACATTCACAAAGAGAGCTACAGAGCAATGAGACTGTACAAACTACAACTAAAAGACTATAATGAATGCATCTCATAGACAGTAGATAATGGATTGAGCACAAGAAGCAACCCACAAAGAGAACATAGTGAAAATTATTCTACTTACATGAAGTTCAAAAATAGGCAAAGCTCCAATGAATAATTAAAAATGGTATTATGATACTTTCATTAGAGAAGCATCAAAAATATTTATGAATAAGTTTAACAGGCATAAAACTCATGTACTGAAGATTATAAAACATCACCAAAAATTAGAAAAGAATTAAAAAATTGAAAAGATATCTTATGCTTATTTACCACTGTTAAATAGTACTATTCCCTAAAGTAACCTTCAGTTTCCATGTAACTCAAAATCCCTGCCAACTTTTCATATTTTGATAGGCTGATCCCAGTGTTTCTACAAAAATGCCAAGGGGCCCAGAACAGTCAAAACATTAATGAATAAAGAACAAAGTTATAACAATTATACTCTCTTGTCTCAAAATTTACTATAAAACTATAGTGATCAAGATAATCTATTACACAAAAATAGAAATACAGACCAACAGAATGGAATTGAGACTGAAAACAAACATTTATATTCTTTATCCATTTAGTTCCAAAAAGAGGTGCCAAGATAATTCAAAGAGGGAAATGATAGCTTGTTCATCTACAAGTGATACTGGAAGAAGTACTAAAACTTTAAAACATTTAAAAGAAAACAAACACAGGAATAAATGACCTTGGAACAGGCAAATGTTTCATATATATGTGATCAAAAGTATAAGCTACAAAATAATGGAAACTGAATTTCATCAAAATTAAAATTGTTTGTACTTCAAAGGACACCACTAAAAAGTGAAAAAACAACCTGCAGAACAGGAGAAAATATAAATAAGCTATATATCTGATGAGGGTTGCTATCTAGGCTATTTTAGGAACTCTTATTCAATAATAAAAACACAACATAATTTTTAAAAGGGCAATGATTCTGAATGGACAGTTTCTGGCTCCCACTTTCTGCCAGGCCCATTTGCTGGCATTTGAAGAATAAACCAGTAAATATAGATATTTCTTCTTTTTTTTTTTTTTTTTTTAGATTTTTTTTTAATCTTTTATTTAATGAATATAAATTTCCAAAGTACGACTCATGTGTTACAACGGCTTCCCCCCCATACCGTCCCTCCCACCCACAACCCTCCCCTTTCTCACTCCCTCTCCCCTTCCATTCACATCAAGATTCATTTTCAATTATCTTAATATACAGAAGATCAGCTTAGTATACCTTAAGTAAGTATTTCAACAGTTTGCTCCCACACAGAAACATAAAGTGAAAAATAATAGATGATTTTTTTTAAATGATGATGAAATCAGATCAGACCTATTGTCATGTTTAATCCCAGTGAGAGTCAAGTTGGGAATTGATAATTTCTTTCTTTCTTTCTTTTTTTTTTTTTTTTTACAGAAGATCAGTTTAGTGTACATTAAGTAAAGATTTCAGTCGTTTGCACCCCCATAGAAACACAAAGTGAAATATACTGTTTGAGTACTCGTTATAGCATTAAGCCTCAGTGTACAGCACGTTAAGGACAGAGATCCTACATGAGGAGTAAGTGCACAGTGACTCCTGTTGTTGACTTTACCAATTGACACTCCTGTTTATGGCATCAGTAATCTCCCTATGCACCAGTTATGAGTTTCCAAGGCTATGGAAGCCCCTTGAGTTCTCCGAATCTTATCTTGTTTAGACATGGTCATAGTCAAAGTGGAGGTTCTCTCCTCCCTTCAGAGAAAGGCACCTCCCTCTTTGAAGACCTGTTCTTTCCACTGGGATCTCACTCGCAGAGATCTTTTGCCAGAGTGTCTTGGCTTTCCATGCCTGAAATACTCTCATGAGCTTTTCAGCCAGCTCCAAATGCCTTTAGGGCTGATTCTGAGGCCAGAGTGCTATTTAGGACATCCGCCATTCTATGAGTCTGCTGAGTATCTCACTTCCCATGTTGGATCACTCTCCCCTTTATTTATTCTATCGGTTGGTGTTAGCAGATACTAGACTTGTTTATGTGCTCCCTTTGACTCTTAGTCCTTTCATTATGATCAATTGTGAACTGAAATTGATCACTTGCAGTAGTGAGATGGCATTGGCACATGCCACCTTGATGGGATTGAATTGGAATCCCCTGGTATGTTTCCAACTCTACCAATTGGGGCAAGTCAGCCCGAGCATGCCCCAAATTATACATCTCTTCCCTCTCTTATTCCCACTCTTATGTTTAACAGGGATCACATTTCAGTTAATTTTCAACACTTAAGAATAACTGTGTGATAATTACAGAATTAAACCAGTCATATTAAGTAGAACAGACAAAAAAAAAATACTATGAGGGATAATGTATTAAGTTGTCCATTAGCAGTCAGGGCTATGCTGATCAAGTCACCATTTCTCATAGTGTCCATTTCACTTCAGGAGGTTTCCTTTTTGGTGTTCAGTCAGTTGCCACCGATCAGGGAGAACATATGGTATTTGTCCCTTTGGGACTGG